GCACAATAGTGTTATACGGAATACATATAACGGTGTATTCTGCATAATGACTAAAATATCTCTACGTGAAAAATCCAAAATATAAATAATTACAACAATACGACCCCTCATTTGACCAAAGCTGATCCTTTTATTTTACGTTGATGTATAATATTCGACCGCTAAATGTTATTCTTATTTCTTTTATTGTGAACGCATTCTAACCGCAACAAAATATATTTATTTTATTTATTTACTCAAAATATCTATACAATAAAATAATTAGGTAAGTTTTCCGATTATATAAATATGTCTAGAGGCCAACCAAAGGAATCCAAATATACACACACAACATACACACTGCGGCGGCGTGAGGAGCTGTTCTTTCGATGCACAGGTCTGCGAAAATTAATTCAGAAAATCAATTCTTCATTCATTATTTTGTGATTGCTCTTCCAGTTTATGTATTAATTCTGCATGATCTTCGCTACCTTTTTGTTTCTGTTAATTTCTTACGCTCTCGTAATAGAATCAGAGATACATCTCTGTTATCGGTCCTTTGGAAATGGAAATCTTTAATCATCTTGTTAATCTGTTAGTTAGATTTCGTAATTGTTTGATTTGAATACATGGTTATTACTCAATTTATTCGAAATCTCTGGTGATTTTTTTTTAGGGCTCATCTTTTTAGGGCAGTTCTTGTGTTCTTGGTGTTCTTTTTGTCGTAATTCTGCATAATCTTCTCAAATAAGTCAGGAATATATATTGCTGAGTGAAAAATAAAAGGTGGATTGTTTTGAATTCTTGTGCTTGTTTGTGCTTTAACCATCTCTCGCTCACCCTCACACACACAAGGTGTTCCTAGATAGATGTGTGTTGTAGTGTTGTATAGTCAGATGGTTTATAAAGGGGGTTGAGTATTATGTTGAATTTGGTGAGGTGGGTGTGGGGTGGATTGATGGACACTATTTCGATCACGTGGTATTCGTTCAAGCAGGATATTGCGGGGAAGCTGAGCTGGTGTGGTGTGCTCGTGTATTGAGTTGTAAAGTTTGGACTAAGTGTTAGAAAATGAGTCCTAGAAGCAGGAGCAGGAGCCGTAGTTGGAGTAGAAGCCGGAGCAGGAGCCCGAGAGGTCACAGGATTCGCACTGAGCGTAACTCTTATGATACTCGTCACAGGAGGGAGGGACGTCAGGGTTTCAGGTTGTATTTTGGTTTTTGAAGTTTTTGTCCTAAATCAGTTTGGTGGGAAAGATATATAGTTAAGGGCTTGGCACGTAATATATTAAGACTTGAATACATTTTTATTAAATTTTTTAACTGCGTATCGCACGATGGACTTGGTCCGTAGGTGGTGACGCAGAACCTCGAATAATGAAGATGACAGTGTGTCTCATGTGGATTTGACTTGTTATTCTTTTAAACTTATGGATTACAAGAATCCTGATGTCATTTATCTCCTGGAAATTTTGAGTATTTTCGTGATGGCTTTGTAATCTTTCTTGGCTGTATAGCATCAAGGTTATAAATTTTAGTTATTTGTTATTTTCAACTGGTATTTGGGAGCTTGTATGTCGAAACTGAACGAAAAAAACATGAGCTTGTTTGTTATTTCTGTTGGATTACTGGGACATTGGAATAAGATTTTCAACTAGGAAAGCTTGCTCTAAGGTTTAAAACTTGTCCAGTATTTTCCCTATAATTATGTAGTGTTTGGCTGAAATTTTCATTGTCGTGGAGTTTTTTCTCATTGGAACACGAGCCTCAGCTTGGTGTCTGACATTTCGACCTGTACATTTGTCCATAATGGTAGGCTTAGGTTTCCGCCTTTCTGATCTTGAAGTAGGTTCCAGTAAGTGCTTATAATCCTTTAATCAAGCAATCTCATGCATCTTTGCCTGATATCAATGAGTTATCGTGGTGACAAAAGTAAGAATGATATGAGCGAGATTTATTCATGCTGGTGCTAGTAGTATCTTCTTACTAAAGGAAGAATCTTGGGGGTGCTGTCAGAGGTATTCTCATGTTTTGGTCAATGGTTCTTTGTCGCATTTATAGGTTCATGCTTCTTATTTACCGAATTAACAATTTCTGGACCTTGGTATATAGTCACTCCAGTCTTATGC